ATGTTCGCAATATCTAGCTCTCCTTCCCAGCATACTTCCACGAGGTCTTGTTTATTTGCTCCTACTTAATCTATCTGTATTAAAATTATATTTGGTGACTTCTCCTCCTCTTGGATTTAATACAGTCTGCACAGGTCTATTGCCCATGCTCGTCTGAACCTCGGTTGTGATCTGAGTAACATGTATTTGTAATCATTATGTCCCTAATCAGTTCATCATTGCAAAAATAAGGTCTAGGGGTGTTTTATTTTGATGTTAATAGTTGCTGGTTTAAAGCAAATCTGACCTCCCCCCCCCTCCCCCCCCCTCCCCCCCCCCCCCTCCCCCCCCCTCCCCCCCCCTACCTCAGGTTGCATCCCCACATCAAGGAACTTCCGGGTACCTATTTACTGCTAGGTGAACGGGGGGCATTAATAGGTAACGCGCCCAACCATTTCTGTCCCGGCCGGAATTCGAACCCTGGATTTATCGACTGAGAATCAAGAATTAACCCGACTGTACCACCGGGACTCTCATCCAGCTAAAAATGCAATTTTTAGCTGGATATTTTATCTCCATGGATACTTATGAGTACTGAATACTGAACTACGTAATTTGATTATATATATATGTCGTACCTAGTAGCCAGAACGTCATACTCGGCCTGCTATGCAAGGCCCGATTTGCCTAATAAGCCAAGTTTCCATGAATTAATATATTTTCTCTAATTTTTTTCTTATGAAATGATGAAGCTACCCATTTCATTATGTATGAGGTCAATTTTTTTATTGGAGTTAAAATTAACGTAGATATATGACCGAACCTAACCAACCCTACCTAACCTAACCTAACCTATCTTTATAGGTTAGGTTAGGTAGCCGAAAAAGATAGGTTAGGTAGGTTACGTAGTCGGAAAAACAATTCATGAAAACTTGGCTTATTAGGCAAAACGGGCCTTGCATATTAGGCTGAGAAGTGCGTTCTGGCTACTAGGTACGACATATATATATATATATATATACACACATATATATACATACATATATATTTTTCCCCTGGAAACCCTAGGGCAGTTTGTTGTTGCCATCATCATCGTTCTGACAGTTCCAATACGATGGAACCAGTCGTATTGGCGCTTGTATTTACATTGGAGACTTTCGGCGCTGTGGAGAGGGGGGGACCTGCTGCATGGGTAACAGCTTCTCCCCCGTATCAACCTACCCTGGCTTTGTGCCCTGGTGAGGCCACTCTCCAGACCGACAACCAGAGCGCAACTCTATAGTCTCTTGAGACTGATGGATGCCATGTATTATATACATTTATATATATATATATATATATATATATATATATATATATATTATATATATTAAATATATATCTCAAGCACATGTTATGCGATTTAATATTCAAGTAATTGAGTATATTTTTTTAATTTCATTTTTTTTATTTGGCATTTCCGAGAAGTACATTTTTAAATATTGAAATGACATTTGAAACTTGAACATTAAAATGTTGGTGTTTTACCCACTCTTGTTAAATTAACTGTTCTCCGACCGTTGGCCGTCACTGTGACCAGTCAGGTCGGTAACTGTGACCAGTCGGGTCGGTAACTGTGACCAGTCGGGTCCCCTATCGTGACCAGTCGGGTCCCCTATCGTGACAAGTCGGGTCCCCTATCGTGACAAGTCGGGTCCCCTATCGTGACAAGTCGGGTCCCCTATCGTGACCAGTCGGGTCCCCTATCGTGACAAGTCGGGTCCCCTATCGTGACAAGTCGGGTCCCCTATCGTGACAAGTCGGGTCCCCTATCGTGACAAGTCGGGTCCCCTATCGTGACAAGTCGGGTCCCCTATCGTGACAAGTCGGGTTGTTTGGAAACAGTGACACCCATGATGGTCGCCCAAGTCAGGTCCGCCAAGGAATACGAACAGGGATAAAGTTTTCATTTAGTTGGATGTTCGCATGCTTACAGCATGGCCTGATTATAGCCTGGTGTGGCTGCCTTGGTGGGGGTGAGGTGGGGAGGGGGTTTGGGGTGTGGTGGGGGTGTAATGGGGGTGTAGTGGGGAGGGTGTTACTGACATGGTGGGGGTGAGGTGGGAGGGCTTGGGGTGTGGTGGGGGTGTAATGGGGGTGTGGTGGGGGTGTAATGGGGGGTGGGTGGGTGTTACTGACACGGTGGGGGTGTGGCTGACATGGTGGGGGTGTGGCTGACATGGTGGGGGTGTGGCTGACATGGTGGGGGTGTGGCTGACATGGTGGGGGTGTGGCTGACATGGTGGGGGTGTGGCTGACATGGTGGGGGTGTGGCTGACATGGTGGGGGTGTGGCTGACATGGTGGGGGTGTGGCTGACATGGTGGGGGTGTGGCTGACATGGTGGGGTGGCTGTGGCTGACATGGTTGGGGTGTGGCTGACATGGTTGGGGTGTGGCTGACATGGTGGGGGTGTGGCTGACATGGTGGGGGTGTGGCTGACATGGTTGGGGTGTGGCTGACATGGTGGGGGTGTGGCTGACATGGTGGGGGTGTGGCTGACATGGTGGGGGTGTGGCTGACATGGTGGGGGTGTGGCTGACATGGTGGGGGTGTGGCTGACATGGTGGGGGTGTGACATGGTGGGGGTGTGGCTGACATGGTGGGGGTGTGGCTGACATGGTGGGGGTGTGGCTGACATGGTGGGGGTGTGGCTGACATGGTGGGGGTGTGGCTGACATGGTGGGGGTGTTGAGCTTGTGGTGGGGAGGAGAAAGTTACGACGGGGAGGGGGGGGCGAGCTGGGGGCGGGGGCCTAGACGTGTGGAAGCCAAATATTCAAGAGTCGAGACAGAGCCATAACGTGTAGCCCAGGGGACGTGTAGTCTGTACGTGTAGCCCAGGGGACGTGTAGCCCAGGGGACATGTAGTCTGCACGTGTAGCCCAGGGGACGTGTAGTCTGCACCTGTAGCCCAGGGGACGTGTAGTATGCACATGTAGCCCAGGGGACGTGTAGTCTGCACATGTAGCCCAGGGGACGTGTAGCCCAGGGGACGTGTAGCCCAGGGGACGTGTAGTCTGCACGTGTAGCCCAGGGGACGTGTAGTCTGCACGTGTAGGCCAGGGGACGTGTAGTCTGCACGTGTAGCCCAGGGGACGTGTAGTCTGCACGTGTAGCCCAGGGGACGTGTAGTCTGCACGTGTAGCCCAGGGGACGTGTAGTCTGCACGTGTAGCCCAGGGGACGTGTAGTCTGCACGTGTAGCCCAGGGGACGTGTAGTCTTCACCTGTAGCCCAGGGGACGTGTAGTCTGCACCTGTAGCCCAGGGGACGTGTAGTCTGCACCTGTAGCCCAGGGGACGTGTAGTCTGCACCTGTAGCCCAGGGGACGCGTAGTCTGCACGTGTAGCCCTGGGGACGTGTAGTCTGCACGTGTAGCCCAGGGGACGTGTAGTCTGCAAGTGTAGCCCAGGGGACGTGTAGTCTGCAAGTGTAGCCCAGGGGACGTGTAGTCTGCAAGTGTAGCCCAGGGGACGTGTAGTCTTCACCTGTAGCCCAGGGGACGTGTAGTCTGCACGTGTAGCCCAGGGGACGTGTAGTCTGCACGTGTAGCCCAGGGGACGTGTAGTCTGCACGTGTAGCCCAGGGGACGTGTAGTCTGCACGTGTAGCCCAGGGGACGTGTAGTCTGCACGTGTAGCCCAGGGGACGTGTAGTCTTCACCTGTAGCCCAGGGGACGTGTAGTCTGCACCTGTAGCCCAGGGGACGTGTAGTCTGCACCTGTAGCCCAGGGGACGTGTAGTCTGCACCTGTAGCCCAGGGACGCGTAGTCTGCACGTGTAGCCCTGGGGACGTGTAGTCTGCACGTGTAGCCCAGGGGACGTGTAGTCTGCACGTGTAGCCCAGGGACGTGTAGTCTGCACGTGTAGCCCAGGGGACGTGTAGTCTGCACGTGTAGCCCAGGGGACGTGTAGTCTGCACGTGTAGCCCAGGGGACGTGTAGTCTGCACCTGTAGCCCAGGGGACGTGTAGTCTGCACGTGTAGCCCAGGGGACGTGTAGTCTGCACGTGTAGCCCAGGGGACGTGTAGTCTGCACGTGTAGCCCAGGGGACGTGTAGTCTGCAAGTGTAGCCCAGGGGACGTGTAGTCTTCACCTGTAGCCCAGGGGACGTGTAGTCTGCACGTGTAGCCCAGGGGACGTGTAGTCTGCAAGTGTAGCCCAGGGGACGTGTAGTCTTCACCTGTAGCCCAGGGGACGTGTAGTCTGCACGTGTAGCCCAGGGGACGTGTAGTCCGCACTTCGTCAAAGAAAGCAAAGTTTAAATCCTTAAGTCTGTTTTTCGTGGCTTATTTATCTGTACTCAAAATTATCGTCATAATTTTTTGTGTGCGTCATTAGAAGACTAAAATTGTTTAGCAAAAAATTCCAGATGGAGCTTGAGCAAGGCGCGATATAGAGCCAATATGTCCACACAGATTTTAAAATTATAATTTGTTAATAATATAAAAACTGTTTGCATTGTTGTTTGAATATGGTCACGTCTGTGAGTATTTTACTGGGATGACCGGGATATACACACCCAGAGCTACTGTATGCTTATCGCTGTATATACTCAGAGTGTATAGGACTAAAATATACTTGTCTGTTGGTCAGTATGCTGTTGCTGGCGGGTTTAATAACGCTCCAGAGGCTGATAGGCCTGTAGACCAACATCAGACCAAAGACCCCATACTCTCATATGGTTAAGCGAGCAACTTTGCATATATAAAGTGCATTCAAGTTTGACTATTTCAGCCAAGATGTATTACCTTAGGGAATATAGAAAATTGCAAAAGATGTGTTGGTCCGTACGAGGCAGCGTTTGTTTACATTCGTCTGCCACGAAGCGGACCCGTGACCGAGTCTAGAGTCACATACTTCAACGCTTCACATGAAACTTATTTTGTTTTTTATCTTCAACATTCGAGTTTTAAGAAGCTTTTTGTCATCTAAATTCTCCAGCAAGGTGAGAGACGCAGCATCCTGCCAGAATGCTGCGTCTTAGACGCTGGTGCAAGTGGACTTGTAATGTTCTTCCTGCAGTGTGGGGCCGCTCGCGCGCCCTTTGGACACACCAACAACAATACAGGAAACTTTGATGGGCGTATTGTCCCATACGGTGGGCGTATTGTCCCATACGGTGGGCGTATTGTCCCATACGGTGGGCGTATTGTCCCATACGGTGGGCGTATTGTCCCATACGGTGGGCGTATTGTCCCATACGGTGGGCGTATTGTCCCATACGGTGGGCGTATTGTCCCATACGGTGGGCGTATTGTCCCATACGGTGGGCGTATTGCCCCATACGGTGGGCGTATTGCCCCATACGGTGGGCGTATTGTCCCATACGGTGGGCGTATTGCCCCATACGGTGGGCGTATTGTCCCATACGGTGGGCGTATTGTCCCATACGGTGGGCGTATTGTCCCATACGGTGGGCGTATTGTCCCATACGGTGGGCGTATTGTCCCATACGGTGGGCGTATTGTCCCATACGGTGGGCGTATTGTCCCATACGGTGGTATTGTCCCATACGGTGGGCGTATTGTCCCATACGGTGGGCGTATTGTCCCATACGGTGGGCGTATTGTCCCATACGGTGGGCGTATTGTCCTATACGAGGGCGCCCTTTTGCACACCCGCTTATACAGTCCATAACAAAACACGATCTGTTACACATGTTAAAAAAAAATAGTACATTTTGCTGTGACTGAAATCGTTTGTCCATAATGACAAGTTCTGTATTACGTGTAACTGGGAAGTATTATACAATATTATATATATATATATATATATATATATATATATATATATATATATATATATATATATATATATATATATATATATATATATATAATGTTGAATATGACCGAAAAGTAAAATTAATAATTCTAACACGAATTTTTTCAATATTTCTTATGTTTTTCTTCGCTGTTGATGGTAATAAAAATATCAATTCTCCAAAATTCATTTTTATTAATGGTCTGACGCCTAGAAGCGTTTCGTAAGGGCTTCTTACATTCTCAAAGACTTCTTTACACCTAACACTACACTTATGAACGACACTTATGATACACTTGATGCACTGTGTATGAAACATTTGACATAACACTTGCTTTTTATTGGTTGTGGGTGAGGTGGGTACATGAGAATGGAAGTAACTGCAGAGGGCCTATTGGCCCATACGGTGCCTTGAAGAGGGTAGAATATATTTGTGCATTAATTGGCTGTTGATTGCTGGTGTTGACTTTTTGATGTGTAGTGCCTCGCAGATGTCGAGCCGCCTGCTATCTCTGTATTTATCGATGATTTCTGTGTTGCTTGTTAAGATTTCTCTGGTGATGGTTTGGTTGTGAGAAGAGATTATATGTTCCTTGATGGAGCCCTGTTGTTTGTGCATTGTTAATCGCCTAGAAAGAGACGTTGTTGTCTTGCATATATACCGAGTTCTTTGGGGCTTACAGTCCCCTAGTGGGCATGTGAAGGCATAGACGACGTTGGTTTCCTTCAAGGCGTTCTGCTTTGTGTCTGGAGAGTTTTTCATGAGTAGGTTGGCCGTTTTTTTGTTTTTGTAGTAAATTGTCAATTGTATTTTCTGATTTTTGTCTGTAAGGATAACGTTCCTATTAATAATGTCTTTCAGGACACTTTTCTCCGTTTTATGAGCCGTCGAAAAGAAGTTCCTGTAAAACAGTCTAATAGCGGGTACAAGTGTTGTGTTAGTTGACTCTTCGGAGGTTGTATGGCGTTTCACCTTTTTATGATGTCTTCAACATAACCGTTAGAGAAGCTATTGTTGACTAGGACCTGCCTTACCCTACAGAGTTCTTCATCGACTTGCTTCCATCCTGAGCTGTGACTGAGAGCACGGTCGACATAAGCGTTGACAACACTCCTCTTGTACCTGTCTGGGCAGTCACTGTTAGGAAACAAACATAGGAATGTGCCTCAATGCTTAGTGTAGACTGCAGTGTGGAAGCCTCCGTTCCTTTCCCTGACTGTTACATCAGAAAGGGCAGCTTCCCATCCTTCTCCATCTCGTAAGTGAAACTAAACACAGAGTTCTGCTCGAATGCCTCCTTCAGCCACTGCAGACGGAGGCATTTGAGCAGAATTCCGTGTTAAGTTTCACTTACGAGATGGAGAGTGATGGGAAGCTGCCCTCACTAGATGTAAGCACTAGCATAGCACCAGCCAGAGTGCGGGTCATTCTGATCTTAAATCGGAAAGTCTTCCCTCGAAGCATTAATTCCCAGAGATGTTTTCAACTGCTTTCTGGAAGTTGTGGAGCAACACGTCACGTGTCTTGCTGGCTTCTCTGTTATTAATATCCACCACCTACCTCAAGACAACTGAACAACACATTAACGCCTTTGTAAACTGTTGAAAATTGTTGATTAGTTAATACCTTAAGTTGTCCTGTAGCACTTTATCTCCAATAATTGTTTACTTCAATGTGTTCAGCTGCTCGTCTTGTCCAGAATTATTAAAGTTAGTTTAATTTACAAGGTGTTAAGGTCAGTCTAAATTTAGCAGCTAATAACGTTGATCAAACTCGTTGCTAACTACAAGAGCCATGTTAGCCACCCCATAGGGGGGATGGGGGAGGGGGGGCTCGTTAGCGACCACTTGTGTGGCCGTTAGTGAGCGGGATCGGCATCCCGATCACTGAAGTTTATCGATTGGAGAACGTTTTGTGTTATGTTTTTACCTTTGTCGGGGACAGGAAGCCTGCACTTGATTGGGGATACCGTGCCTGACTCCATCTGTCCTAATGAGGGAATAAAACCCAGGGCCCTGGGTTGTGAGCCGACAACGTAGACTACTGCGCTAGAGGAGAGCAGTGGTGTTGGTTGTTCTCCAGCATGTGCAACATACCACATAAACCCACCACCACCACCACCGCCACCACCACACCCACCACCACCACCACCACCACATTCCTCGGCTAATTGCTAAAATAGGACAAACAGTCTAGGCTTTCAACTGGCTGGAGACGCATTGTTACTCTTGATGTCTTTCAGAGGCTCACGACTTTTATTACATTTAAATCACTTAAATACATATTTTATAGTTTCTTCAATATTGTCAATGAAGACGTGTTAAGACAGAGGCTGGGCGGTGGATGAGAGCAGACGGGTCCCTGGCGGGGCTCACCTGGCAACCTGTCTGGCGGGGCTCACCAGGGACCACCACCTCCACCTCCACACCTGTACCTACACACTTACCAACACTCTCCCCGTTTTCTTTGTCTTACTCTCACAAAAGCCTAATGTGTAATCTGATGTTCTTATGGGTTGCGGGACGACTCTTAATTCCGAAAAGCAGAATACTCCATCATAAAGCTACTACCACTCAGTGGTTCAAGACAGTTTGTGAGTGTGAGTGGTGAGTTAGGCGGTCCACTAGAGCACCATTCCCGGCTCCCAAGGTGGTGATGGTGGTGGTGGTGGTGGTGGTGGTGGTGGTGGTGGTAGTGGTGGTGGGAGACCGCGCACCTTACCCCTGCACCACCACCTGGTATTGGTTATACAACCTGGGATTCTATTGAATCCACAGGAAGTCTGGAGGCCTCGAGGTGACTCCAGCGTCAGCATTTCTCGAGTTGATGGTCTCCTTGTGAGGGAGTGAGGGGGTCCTCGCCCCCCCTGGTCAGCCAGGTGTCAGTGTTCCTACAGTGTTGCCACACACCATCGTCCCTTCCCCAGTACCTCTCGTGTTGGTGTATTAGCAGGGAGAGAAGTTGTTCCATGTCGCTGCCGGACACCGCGCCCCTCCACACTATCACACACCGTCTCCACCCTGTTGGCCACTATCTGCTCCAGTCCAGTATGTTCATAGTTACCCAAGCCGGACTCAACATCTTAATTGTGAACAAGACTTTTGTAGGTTAGAGTATCAAAGGCTTTTCGGCAGTCTAGGAACGTGCAGTCTACCTGTCCCCTCTCTCCTATCATACACAAGTGAAATTTAGTAGCTCGATGAGGCTCACAGTGCATGCCTTTTCACTGCAAAAACCACAACCTTTCCTCCTACAAAGAACGTCGCATTTCGCTCGTATGCGTTACATAAATTGTCGTATTAGAAAATGGAAACAGTTGGCTAAAAGTGCAGCTCGTCCTCGCATACAAAGATCCAAGCTCGTTAATCCAGCCGCCAAACCCTCCTGTTAATGACTGAAAAGCGCTTTACACACGACTCACAACTGATTACGTCAGAACACTTCCGGAACAAGTGCTTCGCTCACGTCCTCTGTTCTAACCACTATTCTATAAATGCTTCACCCACTAACTTCAAATACAAATAATCGTCATGAGAACCTAAACACCTAACCTAACCTAACCTAACCTAACCTAAACACCTAACCTAACCTAAACACCTAACCTAACCTAACCTAACCTAAACACCTAACCTAACCTAAACACCTAACCTAACCTAACCTAACCTACGCCTAACTATACATAAATGTTTGTGTATAATATTAATTTATATCTTAGAACAAAGGTTTAATAGACAGTGTGTTAAAATTGATGAATGCGTCTGGGGAGGACGGCCGCTGCTTCAACCAGCCTAGTGTGAGGACGGGTTGGAAAGTGACCTACTGTCCCGTTTTCTGTTTTGAGTTCTCTGGTAGGTTAGGACAAAAGCACTTTAAATTGGTCGTTTTCTTGACGTTGGTAAACCTTAGGAAAACATCTACTGAAACCTGGGCCGAGGAACTACCAATGTGTGTGTTAGAGACACTGGTGTGTAAGCTAACGTCTCGTATCTCTCTCCCTACATGTGTGCATCATGCTTGTCCTCTTCCAGCTTTCTGGCAGTTTCCCCAGTCTGGTGTGACATATTATAAACCCGAATTGAAGAACCTGGTTCATTACTGGTCACTTGCCTGTTGTATAGTTGGTGTATGACTTGTGGTTGACCAGAGTGTTCTTGTTGTGTTTACCTCTGTGGCCTGATGTCTGTCATGGTTACCCACCCACCACCACCCTGGCCACGCGGGCCACCACTGTCCTGGCCACGCGGGCCACCACTGTCCTGGCCACGCGGGCCACCACTGTCCTGGCCACGCGGGCCACCACTGTCCTGGCCACGCGGGCCACCACTGTCCTGGCCACGCGGGCCACCACTGTCCTGGCCACGCGGGCCACCACTGTCCTGGCCACGCGGGCCACCACCGCCCTGGCCACGCGGGCCACCACCGCCCTGGCCACGCGGGCCACCACCGCCCTGGCCACGCGGGCCACCACCGCCCTGGCCACGCGGGCCACCACCGCCCTGGCCACGCGGGCCACCACCGCCCTGGCCACGCGGGCCACCACCGCCCTGGCCACGCGGGCCACCACCGCCCTGGCCACGCGGGCCACCACCGCCCTGGCCACGCGGGCCACCACCGCCCTGGCCACGCGGGCCACCACCGCCCTGGCCACGCGGGCCACCACCGCCCTGGCCACGCGGGCCACCACCGCCCTGGCCACGCGGGCCACCACCGCCCTGGCCACGCGGGCCACCACCGCCCTGGCCACGCGGGCCACCACCGCCCTGGCCACGCGGGCCACCACCGCCCTGGCCACGCGGGCCACCACCGCCCTGGCCACGCGGGCCACCACCGCCCTGGCCACGCGGGCCACCACCGCCCTGGCCACGCGGGCCACCACCGCCCTGGCCACGCGGGCCACCACCGCCCTGGCCACGCGGGCCACCACCGCCCTGGCCACGCGGGCC